TTTAGTATGAGGTTTTTTTTTTTTTTTTTTAAGAAAAAAGCAGATTTGGACTTGAGTTTTAATACTTACAGATGATTTCTTTTTATCTGGCCATTTTTGCCCAAGATCTACAAAACAGTTTCCATTGAGGGATAACAGATTCCTATTCCTCCCCAAATGCTTCACTTCTCCTGTAGGTAGTTCTCCATAGCTTCACAAACTGTCATTACTCATTAATGATGTCACACTTCTTCACCTTGATAAGCTTGAATTTCAGGTTTTACATTCATTCCAGCATTACTTTCTATCTTTATGGACAGCCTGCTGAATAAGCAGGTGGGTTGGTGCAATATGACTAGGTGTGCAATATCTCAGAATCTTATACTCTTCAGAATTTGGAGCTGTGATACTCGCCTATCTATCGGACTTCCGGACTCCCTAACTATCCAGACACAGCTGTGAACCCTGAAGTATGTGGGAGTTGGGGGGTGGGGAGAAGCCCCTGTGATAGCTAAAATTACTGCCTGCAAGTCCAGGAATTCTATTCATTTAGCTAGGAATAAACTCGGAGTCTTATTGCTCTAATTTGAGGCACCATTCAAATTAGCTTCATTATCTGGTTTTCTCCTCTAGAGAAGATAAAAATTATGAAATGGAGATTGAATTTCTACTTAAGGCAGACATGCTGTCTCTAGGGAGAAGTGATCATAGCCTGCCGTCCTAGGAATAAACAGAAGATATAAAAAGTACACACAAAATCAGCAAAGTATGGTGTTGGATCAATGGATGATCAGGCTGCCTTATGTATCTTAGGAGACCTTAGTCCTGAGGAGGGTGACCCTATATCATAGCACATTACAACAGCGATATTTCCAAGAATGAACATGGGCCATCAAGTAAAAGTTAAATCATTCCATTTGTTTAATAAAATACATTTTAATTTGTTTTAAAAAAAGACTTTATTCAAAATTGCTTATACATAGCTTGGTCGTTAAAGGGGGCAAATCTGGAATCACTCATTCTTTCATTTGTTCATCTCATTCTTTCTGGGTATTGCCAGAGAACTTTGCATTTGGGTAAAATTTTTTTGCTTATGTTGGTCACCTACTCTGTTTCAAACCTGATTCCATGTGTTTTTTTGTTATTCCTCATAATTTAACTCTCCCTGAAAAAAGAATGTCTCATGTTCTTTGATTACTCTTCGTACTCTATTTAAGAGATAAGTACATACCTTTGAAATTTATTCAGTGTAGTTTTATTTCTGAAGTTTCATAAATGATAAAAGATATTACATCAAAACATTAACATAAGCATCAAATTTTATAGCCATTATCTACCATTTAGTATCCCTTTCTTCCATCTAAAAGATAATACTACATTTCCTGTTTTCTAGTCTCTGCTTTCTGTGTGGTTTTTTCCCCCAAATCACTAAAAGTGATGAATGAAGTTTCTCTTCGTTATCATATGGTTTGGTTTTGCTCATATTTTCCTTCTGTTATCTAGATTGCTAATTAGAAGTTGCAGCTATCAAAAGGAGTTTACTAACAGATGACATACTAAAGCTTTGACTTCCCTTTTTAGTTTTCTAATAGAGCAAACTTTTGCTTCACAAATGCCCAGGCAGCCCCTCTTTGTGTGAATGCAACCACATTAAAAAGAATGTGTCTTCATGAATCAGGCACAGGAGTTGTGTCTCTGCACAATATCCTCAGACTCCACCAAGACTGGAGGTTAAATTCAAGTTCAGGCAACATTTGGAAGCCTTTGTGCTGTCTTCTTGAGCCCTGCTCTGGTCTCTTCTCTCCCTATATGCTGCTCTCTTCACAATGCTTGCTTTCTCTCTTTATAAACCAAGTGTGGTCTCTCCTTTTACTACAGAATATATTGGTCATTTTAATTTATTGTTTGAAATGTTGTCTCTACCATGCCTTTTCACTTAAATCCTTTCATGTCTCGGTGTGATGTGAACATCTTTCTTCTACTCACCTTAAATGTTAGGCATTGTTGAGTAGGGAGAGAGGCAGAAAGCAAAAGGGATGGAGCACGCACAAACAGTTACTCAATAGACCTAAAATTTCAGCTAATGAAATCTGCCACGATAGCCCAATGGAGAACCTGGGTAGGAAGACACAGATATTGACGGCTGGCTCAGACCCTCTTCATACCGACTTTTCCCTCATTATTTTTCTTACTTCTGCCAATTCTGGCAACATATTTGATCTCCAGGGACACATTCTTTTTTTCCTGGCTAAAGTGTGGAAAAATTTCTTGTTGTCAGAGTTTTGTTGAAATAAAATTGGCATTTGGAAGCAGCCACATTTGCTAGGAAGCTTAGGAGGAGGGGTGGGACTCACAAAGGACTGAAGGGTATGAGAGTCTGTGGTTGAGTTTGTGGTCTGCTAAAGTAGAGAGGGCTGAGAAAGGCTCACTGTCTTGTGGGGTAAGGGGTCAGTCGGGCAGTTCAGCTGGCGCTCCAGGGAGTGTTAATACCTCAGTTCTAAGTTCCTGTTTCTCAAAGTGGTGCTCACAGGCCACCTGCACCAGATTCTGGTGGGGGCTGCATCCATCTGAAAGACTGAATCCGAATATGCAAGTGTAGACCTGGAGAGCTGCATCTTAACGCAGTCTCCACAACTCTTCTGAATTAGGAGAGTAACTATTCAAGGTTCTAGTGTTCAGTTTTCTAGCTCCCCAGATGACTTGCATGTGCATAGCCAGAGGCGCTTGGAGTGAGGTGACTGACTCACACTAGTCATACACATATGAAGCTGAGGCAAAAGCAGAAAGCCAGTCTGAACTGTTGCCTGCAGGAGGGCGGGAATCGTACGGCACCAGAAGGGTCACCTATCCTCTTCTTTCACCCTCAATCCATTTTCCTTTTCCAAGAAAAATATGAGTAATTAAGATAATATCTGTGAAACCGGGCTCAGCTGTCAACTTGCTCCAGAAAGATTTCCATAAGCCCAGCCCTACACACCCCGGGAACTTGCTCTGGGGACACAGTCATACTTTATACAAACCTAGGTGGTTGACCCTAATGCGCCATTGTCATTTACATGCTTACAAGTGTCTCCTATTAGACATTGAATTTCATTGTCCTTATAAAATCGAGCCATGCCCCGTGCCTGATCAGGAGTTATTGCTCCATAAATGGTTGTCAAATGAATGGATGAGCTAGAAGATCTCCTGAGGCCTCCTGGAGGCAATTCTCCTCAGTTTTCATCCTTCCTGCCATGAGGAATGACTGTGTTTTTGTGTAAAATTAAATATGTTTGTATTAGACTTGGATTCCTGGGATTCTTGCAAAAAAGTGTTTTGAGAACAAAATAAAGAAGGTAGGGAGAAAATTAAGATGCTTTGGGGATCTAAATACTTGTGAAGTACATTTTATTTTTTTAATGCCACAAAATGCTTTAAAGAGCTCCAAGTAAATTTAAGAAGGGATCTACTGGATTTTGGCTAAGTGCTAAAAAAAAGTTTTCTTAATTCTCTATCCAAATACTTCAACTTAAATTTACTGGTAGCTATCTCAGAGGAAGATGGGAACTCTACAGTCCTTAGTTTGCTATAAAGAAACTGTTTTTGTCTTCAAATGTTTAGAGGAAGGATTAAAGGCAATTTATGGCTTGGGTAGAAAGTAATAAAAGTGGTAACAATGGAGTGTCTTCTAAATTGTCATCATGTTCTGGAATTACTAACAATATCAGCCCAGCAGGCATTTTATGTCTGAAAGGAATTACTTTCATTTGTCATGTTTTAATGTAAACTATAACATCAATCTTGTAGCTACAATACTGAATTGTTTGTTTCATTCTATTGTTTAAAAAGAGAGGTTGATTCAGTTACATAGGACATGAATTCTGTCATTAGACCTTTTGCCACAAGGGTCAAGAAATATTATTCATTTATTTCAGGAAAGTATGCTGCAAAATCTTTATGAAATGTATTTTATTGAGATCTAGCCACACCCTTTTGGTTTTTCCAGAAATACCCCATTTTTAATTCCCAGGGAAAAATTCCAGTAATAAAAAATAAATCAACCTGATAGGTTATTTTCCTTCTTGTAACTACTTTTTTTATTAATAAAATCCCAGTTTATAGATTTCTTACTATTTGTTTAATTAAGACATTTATAACTTTTTATAGCTACTTACAATTTATAAAGAACTTATTAAATACAGTTTACTCAATCTTTGCAACAACTCTGTATAGTAATTATAGCAATAAATTAATATATAACAGAACCTTTTCACTATTTGAATGAATACTGAGGTTCATGGATATTAAGACGTTACCAATGCCAAATAACAGAGCCAGAACTTAATACAGGACTTATTTCCAATTATCATCTTCCTTTGATTATACTTCTGATAAATTGAATACTGTTTTCCTTGACCTATATGTTTAAAAATAAATACTGGAAATGTTACAACATTATTACTCCTCGCTCCCTCTTTTCTGTTACCAATGAAATGATTGGTTCCCACGCTTGATGAAGCTAAATTTTTAGACTGCTCAAGTATTCAAAATTGCAAATGACTTTCATCCATGGATGTGTATGGAGTTGAAAGTTAATCTGAAATAATTTTAAATAAGCATGCAAACTTTTGTGTGACATTCTTATTATTTTAATGCTTCTAATTTAGGTCACAGTGCCATTTCTACTTCTCTCATAGAGTCAATTTCAATACCGTCACCTGAAAATAAGAAGTATTTCTTTACTTCTTGTGTTTAGGATTCCTTTTATGTAGAATGAAATGTATATATACTCTGCATAGAAATTCTTGTGTGTTTGTATACTATCTCATTTGCTCATCCTTGATTTCAATCTAAGATCCTTGAGTGAATTAGCTCTGTAGCTCTAACAGCCTGGACTTTTAAATCAAATGTCACCTATCATTCCTCTGTATGTGGTATTATTTTCTTCAATAGAGTTGAAGCTTGCTCACTTACTATGGGGTGAATTGTGGTGTGATCTGTGTAGGGTTTTGTTTAAATACATATATCTTCTCCCCACTCAGAGTAAAAGAAGCCGAAGAGGTGTGTAGGCAGAAAAAGGGAAAATCACTTTACAAAATAAAACCAAGACACGACTCTGGAATTGTAAGTATTTAACTTTACTGACTTTTCACTTGTGATTTTCTTTGAATTTTTAAAACTCTGTTTTCATAATTTATACTAAGTCACATAATAATATTTTGATTATTTTTCTCTAAAGTTTGGATAAATAATGAGCTGCTGACTTCAAGAAACTCTTTTTCCTTGTGCCTTTGATCAAGCCCATATTCTGAAAGAATCTTGATGTTCGGTATTCGAAACTTAAGAATTAAGATAAATCTACAAAGGGTGTGATTTATGTGACTGTGTACATGTTGGCAGGAAGGCAGGGGAGGCCATCTTTTACATCGTTACACACAGATTGTGGCACAGGCTGCATTTGAACCCAGAGTGACTGTTCTCATTGGATTAACTCCCAAGGAGATCAATCTAAAGCATGTTGCTTTGCCCAGGGTACAAGGACCTGGTTCATGTCCACAGATGGTTCTACTGAGTTGCTGCTTGCCAAGTTATCAGTCCTTAGACTGAGTTGAACCAGCTTATCTAAGTTTCCTTCTTGCCCATTCCCTCCTTTAAAATAAAATGCAAATTGTACACACTGGGAGGGAAGGGCTTGGTTGACATGACAGGTTTTTCCCTTGCGATACTAAAGACATTTTATGGAATATTTTGAGGGATCATTACTAAGGGCCACAGTGTAAGCAAATGGTGGTGTTTTAAATGAAAAGTTGAGTTAGGCCTTAAAATAAAGATCATTTTAAACTGGGTCAGTCTAAGTCATTGAAATGACAAAGACATTAAAATAACCCAAATTGAACAGGCTATTTAGAAAATGTTAGGAATTACGTCTTCATTTAAAAGCCAGTTTTCCTTCAGTTTCTCTGTATCAAAATTGAATCTCATTTAATGATAAGTACTATATTATTATTTAGTTTATTTTCTGCTTTTTTCTGATTAAAGTTCAATTCTAAAACTATATTGAATGAGGAGAAAGTTATTAACTTCCATCATAGTATCATATTATCATAATAACAAGAGAATTGGGGTACATTTACTATGAAATGAAACAGTCTTTTCGGCTTTCATATTTATGTATTTGTAGGATTGAGGATGAGAAAGGTGAGTTGGCATACTTTCACTTTGTTTAGAAGTTACATTTTATCCCAATCTGTAGGCTGTCTCCCTGCTTTCTTGATGGTTTCTTTGGCTTTGCAGAAGCTTGTCAGTTTAATAAGGTCCCATTTGTCTATCTTCTCTCTTATGACCTGTGGGTTTCGGGTTTTATACAGGAATTGGATGCCAGTTCCAATTTCCACGAGAGTATTTCCTTCCTTTTCTAAGGTTCTTATGGTTTGAGGTTTTACATTTAGGTCTCTGATCCATTTGGAGTTAACCTTTGTGCGTGGGGATAGATAGGGGTCCTGTTTCAATCTTCTGCATGTAGTCAGCCAGTTTTCCCAGCACCATTTACTGAATAGGTTCTCCTCTCCCCAATGGTAGGTGGTGGGGGCTCTGTCGAAGATGAGTTGGTTGAGAAATTGAGCCGGAATTGCAGGTGTGCGCTACCACGCCTGGCTGATTTTTTGATTTGTTGTAGAGATGAGGTCTCGCTGCCCGGGTGGGTCTCGAACCTGCAGGCTCAGGCAATCTACTCACCTCAGCCTTCCAAAGGTGCAGGATTACAGGCTGAGCCACCGAGCCCGGCTAGTTTTTTAAAAATTTTTTGTAGAGACAAGGTCTTGCTATGTTGCCCAGTCTGGTCTCGGACTCCTTGGCTCTAGCATCCTCCCACGTTGCCCTCCCAGAGTGCCGGAATTATAGGCATAAGCCACTGTGCCTGGTTGAAATTATTGTTAAAATTTTATTAAAAAAAAAAATTAGACTCAACATAGTACATAGTTTACCCTATTTGGCATCAAAAAATATATTTGCTAAAAACAGAAATACACATACAGAATTTTTTCTAAGTGATGAATTGTATACTATTTTCATTTTCCCCTTTCTATGTTTTTGAACTACCTTTACAATTTTCCATAGTGACTATATATTAAATATATAAAAGGTCCAAAAAAAAGTTACATTTTAAAAACTTTTTTTCTCAAAAATATTTGGTGATTTGTCTCTGAAAATTCTGAAAGATAAAACAGATTCCACTTATATTTTTTTCCTGTTTGGATTGGTAGATCTTTCACCTTTTACCAAAGAATTTGATCCACATAAAAAGGTCTTCTTTGGGCTAGTCTAAACTTCTTTCTTTTTTAAAAGTTCTAACTATAGCTTTTATCTCCTATGTTTGTTTTCAGAAAGCGAAGATAAGCATGAAAACCTGAACAACGAAAAGCAGAATGAAAATGAGTCATTTCAATGACTTTCACAGAATTCAGCTGACCTGAGGGTGGGAAGGAAACTACATCGTTCTGATCATCTTTCTTCTTGACCTCTTACATAACCTTTGTGTTTTCTAGAGAGTTCACTAATTACTGAATTTTACTGTATATTCGTGTAATGCAAAATCACTAGACCAGTGGAGAATCTGACACCTTTTCTTTTTGTAAAAGTTTATGGTATTATACCAATAGACCAAAACAGCATGTAAAAGAGGCAGTATCTGCACTAATTCTGAACATGCTAAACATTAACTTAAAATGTACTTTTATGAGAATATTCCTTGTCACCACAAAAGCACTTTCCTTTCTACTGACAACCAGTACTCCACATCACAGCAGTTAGATATATGGATAAAATGTTATTTCTAGTTAATTGTTCGTATCAATTTCAAGTCTACATGTACATTTTCTATTTCACAATTTAAGTACCCTTTATATATCATAATCAGTGCTTTCCCAACTCTTGGGTGGCTCTCCATAACTATATATTTGTGAAAAAAAGATTTTTTTTTTTTTTACTCAAGTCAGATGATGAGTAGAAAGTATGGTAGAAGAAAAACTCTTCCCTATTTTATTACAGGCAAGAAGACAAGTTTTAAGTTTAATGAGTGCTTTTGTCCTTTGAGACTTATAGAAAAGTTCATCTGCAACAGAAGTAAATTAAAGATGTGCCTCCCTATCACTTTCCCATCTCACGTCACAAAGAAAATTTCACTCAATATTTTGAAGGAATTTAAATGAACAATGCTCATAAAATTGCCAAACCTGACTAATTATTAACAGAAAAACAAACAAAAACACAGTAAGTTTTTGACTGGATTGGCATCTCCCTAGAACCTGTTGAGTAAACATACCTACCTGAGTATTTTGACGTGATTGGGGTTATCTTTCTGTGTTCCGGTAGGTGATTAAAACTGGGAAATGGGAATGTTGTGGTTTATTATCTAAAGGAGTCTAGGAAAAGGTTTGATTTGATTTTACTTTCCCATTCTTTCCAAGAATACTTTAAAGTCAGTTCATAATGCATTGTGGTAATTTTGTCTAACATTAATAGTTGTTTTTTTAATTGCTTTTAAAGATATTTGTTGGGAGTTAATGGTTGTGGATAAAGGGGAGAATTTGTTGCTATTGCAAAGCAATTGTGAAAAACAACTTAAAAAGAAAAACAATATTCTAAATCATAACTCTGTTTGTATTTATGTAAAGTATAGTCTATTACCTTTTAGTTTGTAGTTTAAGTGCAAAGAAATAGTAGTGGATTTTTTCTGTTGTTGTTTTGTAGTCTTCCTCTTCCCTCAGTCCCTTCAAAGTGTATATTACCATTCTCCAATGAAATAATAGGGCATTTAACAAAGATCGCTATGTGCAATACTGTATTTAGTGTTTCTATTTCAATTTTTCTAGGATGTTAATTTATATGAAAATAAAATGAATAATAAAAGAGTTCTGAGTCTGGTGTGCATGTTGCATAAGGATACTTGCAAACACAATCATTATATTTATTTATTTATTTGTTTGTTTATTTAGTTTTTGAGCTGGAGTCTCACTCTGTCGCCCAGACTGGAGTGCAGTGGCCGCTCCCGGCCACCGCAGCCTCGACCCGCTGGGCTCCAGCGATCCTTCCGCCTCAGCCTTCCAAGTAGCCGGAATTACAGGCATGTGCTACCACACCCAGCTGATTTTTTTTTTGATTTATTGTAGAGATGAGGTCTCACTACCCAGGTGGGTCTCAAACCCACGGGCTCAGGCAATCCACTCACCTCAGCCTCCCAAAGGTGCGGGATTACAGGCTGAGCCACCGAGCCCGGCACAACCATTATATTTAACATGAGGTAGGAGACTGAGAAAGGTGGGAAAAATAAGTTTGGCAGTCTCCATGTTTACATGCACAAAAAAATGTGCATACAATTTCAGGAATTCAAATCAAAAATGGGCTGAGCATGGTGGCACATGCTGTAGTCCCGTCTACTCTGGAGGCTGGGAAGGAAAGATCACCTGAGCAGAGGAGGTTGAGGTTGTGGTGAGATATGATCAAGCTACTGCACTCCAGCCTGGGTGACAGAGTAAGAAGACTTTGACTCAAAAAAAAAAAAAAAAAAATCAAAAATTTGAGCTGAAGCCAACCGATGATACTTAAGTAAGAAATTCTGATAAATACTTACTTTTAAATGTCTTGAACTGGGATCTTTTTCCAAGTTCCAGAATACCTTCTGGTGATTTTTCAATTGGATGTCTCACCATACCTTAAAACTTACCATGTGTATATTCAGACTCGGCTTATCATCTTGCCCCTCATTTCTGCTTGTTCTTCTGTGTTATCTATCTCAGTGAACAAAGCTACCACTTATTCAGAAACTCCAGCTCATCCTTGACATCTCACTCAGCGCCCAGTGGATAGGATGTGTCCATTTTTCTCTATCTCCTCCACTAAAGTCCTGGTTTAAAACACTCATGAATTCCTTTAATAACCTATTAATTGCTCTCATCTAAGGTTTGCACCAAATTTTTCTTTAAATTGCAAATCTGCTTATTTGAATTTTGTAGTGACCACCTACACCAAGATATGTGGTCTCCAGATACTATCCAATCCTTAATGTGACTGACAGAATCCTGAGTGATCCGGTGCCTACTTACATGTTGAGTTTCATCTCCTGAGTCAAACTATCTTCAGTGCAACCTCCAGCCAAACTAAAATATCCTCAGATGTATTTTCTCTCAACTATGCATCTTTCTCCAGGTTTTCCCTCAGCTGGAAACATTCGCAACCTATTCATCTGGCCCATTAATGGGTGGCTCAGCCTGTAATCCCGGCACTTTGGGAGGCTGAGGCGAGTAAATTGCCTGAGCCCGCGGGTTCAAGACCCGCCCAGGCAACTTGGTGAGACCTCGTCACTACACTAAATCAAAAACTAGCTGGGCGTGGTAGTGCACACTTGTAGTTCCAGCTACTTGGAAGACCGAGAAGGAAGGATCGCTGAAGCCCAGCAGGTTGAGGCTGCTGAGGCTGGAAGCGTGCCACTGCACTTCAGCCTGAGCAACGGAGTGAGACTCCAACTCAAAAATAAATTAATTAATAAATAATTGTAATGGAGATTAGAAACCACTTGTTTCAAGACATATCTTAACACTAGCCTCCCCAGTTCCTAGCACAAAACACTCAATACATATTTATGGATTAAGGTAAGATACAAGTGTTAACTATGGCAACTGTTTCAGGGTACAAGCAACTTGAGGCCTGAAAGAAAGCTCTTGCTTGCTGAAAAAGGATCGTGTAAAGGGGGGGAAGGAAAAGGAGGCTTAATATGGATTAATTATACTAAATTAAGACATTTCAGGAGCTCCAAGTTCAGAAGACTTTTCAATCATTTGAGAAACATAGTACTCTGAGGTTAAAACATGAATTTTGTTTCTGTTTCCAAATAGGAAAACAAGATAAACTATATTTTCAAAAGCATAGATGCTGCACGGGAGATGAGGGATAGTGACAATGCACAGGGAAGGGAAAACTCTCTACTGGCAAAGGGAACACGCCGTGGCTCATTTGGGAGGAAAACCAAACCAGATTCGCTACCAGAGATAATTAGAGATAACTGAAAAGCTACAGTGGGTGCCGTCAGACAAAAACCAGCACGTGTGTGGTGGCAGGAGAAACAGACTAGCACTGGGCAGGCTAACTCGTTGACCCGTGTTGGCCATGTCTTCAATGTCACTGCCACACAGGAGCCCAGCACCACCAAGAAAAGGCTAGTTCTAGACTGGAAATGGGTGGACACAATAGAAAATGACTAGATAAAGAACGTGAGCACCCTCTCAAGACAACTCAGCAAAACACACATCCAAAACATGTGAGGAAACTTACCAAGAAGAAATAAATCAGCTCAATAAATGGCAAAATGAATCTACCTTCAAAAATGCAAGTAGGACAACATTTAAATTAATGTAAAAATTGTGTTTAGACGCTGCAAGAAAATTTGAAACATATAATCATGGAGATAGAAAAACATAAGTTAAAGGAATTCTAGATGGACGCGGATTAAGAGAGTGATTTGGAAGACAACACTGAGCAATTTAGTGAGAGCCTGCAGCAGAAAGAAACAAATATTTTTAAATATGTGAGAGAAGTTAAAAGAGACACAGGAGAGACCAAGAAACTCTCATTTAAGAGGCATTCCATAAGGAGAAACTAAAGAAAGTGGTAGAGAAAGCACATAACTTAAAGAAACCATAGCTGAGAATTTTCAAGAATCAAGGACATAGTCTCTGCTTAAAATGTGTAACAAATGCCAGAGCAGATAAATACCAACAAATTTGCACTTAGAAAGGTCAAAGTGAATCTCCAGCTAGGTAAAGATAAAGTTTCCGGAAGGAAAGGATGCATCACCTACGATGAAATGACAGTTATCCTGAAAGCGGATTTATCTTCAGCAATAATATATATTAGAAAATAGGACTGAGGTGCAGTGTGGAAAAAATTGAGAATTTTTTCTCAAAGAATTGAGTGAATGGAGATCATTATACCTAGCTGAAGTATCATTCACATGAAAGGGGAGAGAGAGATTTTCAGACATATAAGAACTTCCCCCGAAAACTCAGTGAACAGTTTGCTAAAGGGCACATTTCAGCAAGGAAAAAAAAAAATGCAAAGTGAAAGACTGGGAAATAAGAAATCACAGAGAACGATAGAAATTGGCTAGCTAAATCAACTCTAGATTATAAATAATTACAACTATATTTTTCATGTTTACAAAGGGGACTGAAATTTCGTTTTATTTTCTATTTTATTTTATTATTTTAACTTTTTAAAAAAATTTTTGAGTCAGAGTCTCACTCTGTCACCCAGTCTGGAGTGCAATGGCATGCTCTTGGCCACCGCAACCTCAACCTGCTGAGTTCAGGTCATCCTTCCACATCAGACTTCCAAGTAGCCAGAACTACAGATGCATGCCACCACGCCTGGTGATATGTTTTTTGTTTGTTTTTTGTTTATTTTTGTGGAAACAAGGTCCTGGCCTGTTGCCCAGGTTGGTCTCAAATCCCCGGGCTCAGGCAATCCTCTTGTCCCCACCTCCCAACGTACTAGGATTATAGACATGAACCACCGTGATTCACTTGAAAGTTTAGAGAAATCTAAGGAATTTTTTCTGAATTTCAGAAATGCTAAGGGGCTTCCCTTATTCTTTTCATTCATTCAAATCAACAAATGTTGATGAAGTAGTTGATGTGTGCCAGAAAGTGTTGTAGACTTTGGGAGTAACGAACAAGCAGAAAATGTCCTACCATCATGCAACCTACATTCTAAAGGGAGAGACAAACAAAACTGATGTAAAATAATGTCAGGCAATATGACAATTAAGTAGGGTGGCCAATAATTCATTCTTCAAACCTGAATACCATTGAGAATAAAAACCTCCATAAATTGATACAAAGAATTTGGAGTCTGGTCACCCTACATCTGTTCGCTAGGTAGGATGACTGAGCTTTAAGTGTTATGAAGAAAAAAAGACAGAAGATGGTGATAATGAATATGTCTGGATTTTTGTCACAAAAAATATGAAAGTAAATATACATTAAAACGTGGGGCTGTTCACCAAAAGAATAAATAATTAAAATAGGGGAATACAGAAAAAAAACCTCATCAAGCTAACTAAATACCAGAAAGTTAAGAAAAAACAAAATGTGAAAAAAGAGATTGTGGATGGGAGAAGGGAGAATTTGGGATGGAAAAGAAGGAATTGTTACAAATTCCAAACTCCTGTGCAATCATTTCTTGACTAACACCAGCTTGTCATTATCATTTTCCACTTCCCAGCCAGTTAGTGAACTCAGGTCTTTGGAAATTGTAGTTTTTGATTTTTGTTTCCCATGAAACACATCTTAGTTATATGATCAAAAGCAATAGGAAGAGGTTTAATGTTTTAAAATAGTGTGATAAAGGAGGCATTTACCCCTTCTGCCCTCAGAAGTTATTCCAAAGCAACAAGAAATGAAAATGTATCAGCTTTAATTAAAATTAGAGGCATCGAAAACCCAGACCACAAAATATATGGAAGATCTTCCAAACGTGTGGGTATGGGAGAAGGCAGAAAGAGGATGCCCATGGAAACACATCTCAGAAAAAGCCAGCAAAGTCTCCTTCTCCAAGGTAGAAACCATACTCAAACTCCTGTGTTTGTAATAATGGACCTTGGTACACCAATGGTATTAGAAACTTCCCTGAACGTGGTGTATTATTTTTTAAGGCAGAAAGGATGCCTACATGAGAAGTCAGACAAATCATATTAGCAGGAAGATGTCTATCATTAAGATGAGAGTAGGAGAAGAAACCCTTGAAACCCCTATTTCAAGTAGTGAGTGCTAGAAGAAGACGTGATCTCCATCCTACTTCTAAATGAAATTTTGACTAACTCAAAACACACCCTACCCTCTCTCCAACACACACCACC